CCGCAAATGAAACGCGGGCACCAACTTCGAAGACCACGGACCAACAGAAGCGGATCAACAGGGAGCTTGTTGTGGCCGGCAAAAGGAGCAGTCTCGAGGTCCTGAAGGTGGTGCAAAGGAACCTTGGCCAGATGAACGGAGTGAACTTGTCTACGGCCTTCCACCGCATCTCGCGAGGAGTTGAAGAACGGGTGACCGGCTACGGTGTCTTCAGCAGGCTTTTGGAAGTGGCCGAGCGCTACGCCGAGCAGGAACTGGCAAAGCGGGGTTCCTCACTGCCTGCCAACTGCTGCACCATCATCGCCTCAGCAAGAGGCGATGATGGTGCAGAAGTTGGCAGGCAGTGAGGACCTTTTTGGGCTAAAATATCCCTACCATTATTGAAATTGAAAGGTTTACCTTTTTGGGGCTAGGATACTCAGCCCCTAAGCGCTCTTTGCCAAGCTGGCGGCCATCGCCACCCCGCAGCTCCGGAGCTGCCAGGTCTATGAGGTCACGAATTTGCTTTGGGCCTTCGCAGAGTTCTACAAGTACGAGCAGGACACTGCAAACGGTGTGGTCTCAGAGCTGCGGGCTTTGTTGGATGCCGTGGCAGAGGTGTTCAGCGGACGAAGGCCTGGCGACTTCAAGGTGCAAGTCCTCACCTCGGCCCTCATGTCCGTGAGCGCTCTCCCTTGGAACCCGAGCTTCTCCAGCACCTGGCTCCTCAACAGCAGCTTCCAGGAGCTCTCCTCACGCTGGGGGGAGCTGGAACTCGAGGGCCAGGCGCAGGTCGCCGTGGCACTCGAGCGCCTGCAGGTGAAGCGTGCCCCCTTCTTCGACAGCCTCCTACGCAGCGCCGGCCAGGAGTTTCCAGCCGTGAAGATCTCGCTGGAAGCTCGTTTGCTGAGCCGAGCCCGTTGATTGAAAGAGCATCGTAGCGCTGATACGAGAGAGGGGCCACTTGCCGAGACTTGAAGAGCCTGGCGTGTGCAGCCATGAGCTGTTTCTAAATGATCTTGAATGCCTCGGCACATTTTTTTGCCACTGTTGGTGGCAGCCTTTCCACATTCCCGAGCTCGTGCACCAACTGCGCGTTCCAATAAACGAGTATGATACATCATGATACATTCGATTTAGTTGGATCTTTGTCTTGGAGACTGCGTTGCACCCTGAACAGTCTGAACATCCATCAAGGCTTAAGCTAGCCTGGAGGGGTTGTGCAAAGCGTCGCCATTCAAATGATCCGCCTGCCATCATCGTACATCATGGCCTAATCCTGCACATTCTTCTCTTCTTCTTGTAGCCGTCGGGGCTTCAAGCAGACCTTCGCAGCACGACCTACAATCGAGATGCTCTCGCCTGTCTTGCAAACGGTGCTGGTGTAAAGCGAAAATGTACCTCGCGTGCAGGTGGAGGGCATCACTGTTTGAAGCAGGGCATGCTGCGAATCAATACCAAGCACAGATTCCCCACGCTTGAGCAGGGCCCCATCGCAGTCGAAGCATCCCAAAGTCCTACAGGCTCTCGGTATTGCAGCACGTGGTGTTCTTCCGGCTCTCGCCCTCTGGGGATTAGTATTCTATCCGTCATGAGATGACCACAAACCAGACAGAGCTTGCAGCAAAAAGGTGCGCCAAGCCTCAGACAAGTTTGCCTAAACCCGAAACCCTAAACCCTAAACCCTGCATGCCGTGCACGCCTGAGCTGTCCGGAGCCTGTTTGCTTCGCAGGTGGTGGGCATCCGGGCAGCGGTGAAGCGGTTGTCCTTGTTGGTCTTGCCACCGCAACTCCCATATGGGTATTGCAGGTCTGTAACAGGCTTTTGCATGGTGACCTTTAGCATCGCCGCGTGAATGCCTTGGAAAAGACATCGCAGCACTCAAGGCGTTCAGAAGGAGAACGAGCCTTTGGTCGCTTGTCTGTATGACATGCTCCGCCACAAGTGTCGTCATCGTCTTCATCATCATCATGATCGTGGTCATATTGATCATCATCATCATGATCATCTTCATGATCGTCATCATCATCACCATCACCACCATAATGATGATCATCACATCATGATGATCATCATCACCATCAGCACCATCATCGTCTTCCTCCTCCTCATGAGCATGATCATGACGATGATGATCGTCATCATCATGATCATCATCCTCATCACCGTCGCCATCCCCATCCCCATCCCCATCGCCGTCGCCATCGCCATCGCCATCGCCGCCACCATTACCACCACCAGCAGCACCACCAGCACCACAATCGTCACCGTTATATCGCGAGCATCAGCGTAACCATGATTAGCAACACCCAGCCATAAGCGACAATAATCCTCAGAATCACGTATATCTTGCTCATCATTTCCAATGCCGTCGTCATTGCGCAGTTCATATTGTCATCATCACCACCATAATCACCACTGCTTCGACAAGATGGGTATCTTGTCATTGCCCCGCGCCTCCTTCCAGACAAGTCTTAAGTGGCTTCGTGTGGAGAACGTTGCAGATACGCGACTCGGTGCCTTCTAAATAGATTGAGCAAGACGTTTTTCCCGTTGTTGATGCCGGGATCCTCAATGCTTTCAGGACCTTCAGCTGTAGGATTGGGAGACGTAGCAGCCAGGCATACAACTAGCTGGTAATTACCATGTCTATATATTTTTTATATGTACTCTCTCGCTCTCATTCTCTCTCTCTCTCTCTCTCTCTCTCTCTCTCTCTCTATGTATGAATATAGGCGTAAATAGACATGCACATGTTACGTTAAAACATAAACATGAACTTGACCACAAATACAATCATCAATACAACTGTAAATATGTATATATGTGTAAATCCAACTATACATGCAAATATAGATACAAACATACGTGTAAACATGCATGTAAATATAAATATCAACAGAAAGTATCACTATACATATACGTGTAAACATTTATGTAGATATACGCATCAATGAGCAGCTTCTTCACGTGAACAAATAAGGAAGCAGATTCGCAAATAAATACATACGTACATACACACATACATACACACATGTATGCATGTCTGCATGAATGTATGTATGTAATTACGTACAGATGTATGTATTTACATACATTTGTGTATGTATATGTATTAGAAAATATCTGTATACCTGTATGTGTGTATTAAGTGTGTACCTCTGTATGCATGTATGTATGTATGTATGTATGTATGTATGTACGTATGTATGTACGTATGTATGTACACATGTTTCTGATGTGTATGACTACACACAAGCCTGGCGCCACACAGGTTTTCGGCTGGAAGAGTGTAGCAGTCCAGAAGCCAACATGAGAGGATTTGCAACTTCGAGCTTTCACTCAGGCACGCTGCCTCCGACCTGCTATCCATGAACATTGGGTTTCGTAGAGCATGTCTGCCTCACCGACGGTCGTATGAAGAGTTTGGGTTTCTGCACAGATAAGATCGCCAAGTCTATGCAAGGGAGTCGAGGACCGATCCGTGCTCTCTCGAAGCTCTTGCAGCCACTCTACCGCACCCATAATCTGCATCGTCCGGCTGGCTTTTTGGGTTGTGGTTTAGGCCCAGAGTCTAGAGTGCAGAAACAAAGTTCTTGGTTTCAAGACAAGAGCAAGGGAACCATTGACAAGCCTTGCCATGGCTTCGGTGTCCAAGCCTGCGACAAACATCGAGGAGATATTCCAGAGCCCTGTAGGGCCCCGGCAAAAGAAAGATCCAAGCGGTAAAACCAGACTGATCCCTAAACCCTAAACCAAAGCATGCTCAACTTCTCCCTTGGAAGTCGTCAACATCCTGACCACGGCAAGGCTGCACCAAAAGCATGGAGTTGAGCCAGAGTCCCTGAATCCTGAAATGTAAGCCATACCTATAGTCTATATTGTAGTTCCTGTTTTGGTTTAACCAATTTTATATTAAGGATTCCAAAAGGTAACCCTCAAAAAGGAACTACAAGGGAGACTAGAGGTAGTGTGAATGGCTCCCCCCTCTTGAAGCTTACACGGAGGCTTTCAGGAAGAGAGGCAAGGCCCTCAACCCAAAAAATCCCTCCACCCTAAACCGTTAAACCCCAAATCCTCCGCCCTAAACCCTAACCCCAAAGGCCTTAAGCCCGGAAAGCCCCGAAAGCCCTGAACCGCAGGAGTTTCTCTGGAACATCCATACGGCGCTTGCCGCAGCTGAAGGTGGCTCATGTAGAAGCCTAGAGAAGGATTTAGGGTTTAGGGTTTCGGGTTTAGGGTTAAGGATGTTGGTTTAGGGTTGAGGGTTCAGGATTCCAGGATTTTGGTTTAGGGTTTAGGGTTCAGCAGCTCCGGATCGAGCAGTCTCTAGTCGAGCTCGCTATTTCGAACCCAGAAAAATACCCACCCACCCAGGAACCCTCAACATTGAGAAGCCAAATATTTTATTAATCCCAGAGCTTGGATCCTATAAACCTTTAAACCTACATCCTGAACCCTTAAGCCCTACGAGAAAAACTTAAAACCTCATGAACCCTATGATACAACAACAGAAGAACCTTAAACCCTATGATACGAACCTAGGCCCTCAACCCTAAGCCAAACACCGAACATCGCAATTTTCTCCCGAATGGTCGCGGGAACACCGAAAAACCGCAATTTTCGCACGAAGCTTCGTGAGAATCTGGCAATTTCGCCGGCTTCGTGAGATTTTGGCGATTTCTTTTGCGAGTAGAAATCGCAGATTCTCACGAAGGGCCCAAAATCACCAGATTCTCACGAAGCGTCGTGAGAATTTGGCGAAAAACACGAACATCGCCATTTTCTCACGAATGAGTTAAGGTTTAAATACGGATGTTACAGAGTGTTTAGGGTTTAGGGTACAAATCTTCTTCCTCAAGCAGGGTGTAGGGGTTGATACGGGGGTTCCTTGAAAGGGTTCTGTAAGGGTTGTACGGGCGGAATTACCTTCCTCAGGGTTCCTTATGACCGTCAACTTACAGCAAGGCTCCAGTGTTACCTCGTGTCTGGGTTCGGGGGTTGGAATCTGGGGGTGTGTGGTTGCGAGCATAGGGTTGCCTTCGGCTCTCATGACACCAAAGTCCCAGTGAAGCTATGTTCTCCTCAGCAGTAGATAGCCGAGCTGCTGGCAGCCGATTCTTGTGGTCTATGTGAACTAGAGGCATCGAGTTGATGAACTACAAACGTGCGCGCTGATGTCGCCCGGGACCGCACGCTGTAGCCTACCTACCTACCTACCTACCTACCTACCGACCTACATACATACATACATACATACATACATACATGGTACCCCCCTCCCCCCCCCATGAACTACCGACCCTTGTTTTGTGTCGTAAATCCTGGCTTAAACCAGTTTTTCCGGCAGGTCCTGATTCCGTATCTATGAAAGACTGCCAAATGTTGGGCAGGATAGCCAACTTTTTGCTAAGGAAAACCAAAAGATCTGCTTGGAGTCTGGCCGTAGAGTTTCCCCCAAGATTGGTTTTTTTGCAATGTTTTTTTTGGTTTTCCCTAGGAAAAGTTGGTTCTCGATCCACCAAAACCAGTTTTTTCTAGGAAAGTTGTTGGTATTTCACTCCAAGACTAGATTTTTCCTAGCAAAGCGTGCGTATTTCATTTGTTGTTTGTGCGCGTTACGAATTAGTTTTGCCGATAAAGTTCGCCGAGTGTCATTATCATTGGGATTCGATTTCGCTTAGCATTAATCTATACAGTAGGCAATAGCCAGGACATCGTTCGGATGAGTTTCGGCTAAATAGGGCGCTACTACTGCAGGTTTATCACAGACCAGGACCCAGGATATCAGGGTCATCACAGGCACCACTACGATTTCTTGTAGTTGACTAACTTTGTAACTTGAATATCAGAAACATCGGGGTCAGATTATGGGTGGTACTAAGCCTACCGTGGATGGCCTTGGGGCTGTTGTCAGAGCGAA